AGTTCTGTCTTTTCTGAGGAAAATGAATTTTTTAAAACTTGCATGTTCTTCTTTTCGTGTGAAAGAAACCCTGTTAGAAACCCTGTCTGGGTTTGTAGAATAGATGTTTCCCTAAAGCTGTGTTTTGTGCGTATGTGTGCATGCATCTATCGTCTTTAATACTTTTTTTTTTTGCTATAATTCTTTCTCTAACAAACATTAGCGTAGCTTGTGTGCTTTTATTATATTTGTATATCTTAACTTTGTCTCCTGGAACTATATGTCAGATAAGTGATAGAGGAAAGAAACTGAGGCATTGAAACATTGCAGCAGCCTATCCAGAGGGTACTTACTGTCAGTGCTGCATGGATCAAGGGATCCTGACTCTGCAAAAGTGCATATGTATAAGGACATTCAAAAACTTATGGTTGGATCAAGATGTAAACTGCGTAATTTTCAGTGGCTCTGTGCCTAACCTGTGCTACAGACCATTGCTTCTTTTGGAAAGCTTGGTAGTAAGTGCTCAGTTAATCTGGTTTGATGTCCGTAGTTCAATAGACAATAGAGCTATCCAGTTCCTTTTGGGTTGGTGATTTGAGTATTTTTATACAAAGGATTAGTTCCAATCCATTGTTTTCTTGTGGAATTTCTTTTTTCTAGCAAGTTTTGTGTTGCTCAAGGATTAAAATCTGGTTTCCTACTAGTATGACCAGCAAATGTTGAGCGGAGGGGTAGAAGGTGGTTTATTAGCTACTTTTTTTATACAGCTAGTGACAAAGCGGTGCTAGAAATACCCTGTGTCCGCAAACCTATCTCAAAGAAGAGCCTTCATCCTTGTATTCAGTATAAACTAGGACATTTCTGAAGCTGTGGTGCTTTTTCTTTGCGCTTGCCACAAGTGGGTTGTGCTTTGTGCTTCAAGCTAAAGCCCTTTGACAGTTCGGTTGCTGTTCTTCAGGCGTAATTCTCAGTTTACTATCAGGTGTCACTAGTAGAAATGTGAAATACGGACACACTTTCTAAAGCTAAGTGCCATGGAAAGGGGGAGAACGCGGTGGGCACAAGCCTGGATTCCCCTGTTGTTCACACACCGAGTCTTCCTGAGCAGGATAGATTGTGTTTTTGCTACCATCTGTTGCGTCTGGGTATGCCAATGCAATACCTTTCACGAGCTGTAAACGTGAACTATTAGCTATAAAAACAAACTTAATATAATGTGGGGTTTTTTTTTTTCTACAATAGCTTCTACTCTTACGTGAATTTGCATGTCTTTCAATATGGTCAGTTTTAAGAACAAATTATATGGTAGGAGAACGCTTAACACATGTAAGAGATTATCTAGTATTTTGGCTCTGAAATCTGTATTTGGGAGCTGACCGGTTTTTTCAAGTTCAGCACCCAGTAATTTGCAGGTAACCTTGACAATCTTTTATTTAAAGAGCATTGCTTTAAGTATCGCTAGTGATTGTGGATACCATAGGAGATCTGTTCCATAGATTACTATGTGCATTTAGCAGCTTCTGGTGATTTTTTTGCTGTGTATTTAGAACAGATTCCAATTACCATATGAGTAACATCATCTCAGTCCTAGTTCTTTCATTCTGACATCTCTTTTGGCTCCTGGTGCGATTTGGCCCAGTTTTCCAAAATGTTGATCTTGAGTCCAAACGTAACTTTGTGGGTGGTACGTGTGTCAAGCCGTAGTTCAGTATTTTTGGACAGCAGTAGCCTTTCATAAATCTTTTTAAATGAGAAGAAGAAGAAATGAAATTAAATGAAAAAAAAAAAGTGCAGCTAGATCTAGCTGGGCACAAGCTTGCCTTCTCTACCTCTGTCCCCCTTCCCCCATTTTTCCATTTGGAAAAATAGAGACATGGCAGAAAATTTGACAGGATTTAGGTGCTCTCAGAGCAGCAAGCAACAGTATAGCCTTGTCTTTATGACCTTTCTTTTCATGTTCTGGTGGCCACCGAGTTCTTCTGGGATGCAGATGAGGAAGGTGAGGGTGGAGGAGTGAAACCCTGTGTTTGTGTGTGTTACAACAGAAAGCTAGGCTGAATTACATAGATATCTGAATAAGGCTATGTTGGCATTAAGAAAAACAACCAACCAACCAACCCCCTCAGGTTCTCCATGTGTCTATATCTGACGTACCTATTGCCATGTTATATCTTTATATACAGTACATTCTCTCTGTAAACAGCATAGGAAGGTATAAATGCAACTTTATTACTTAAAGTCTAGTGAAATAGTCCAGAAGGTTGAAGTCTGTGTGAAATAAACATATGTACAAAGTACAGGAGGTTTCACACAGCATAAATCAAAAGGAACTTCATAGCTTCCTTCCTTCTCCCCAATGCAGTTGCAGAGCTGCTAGCTGAAAAGCTGTCCTTCATCATTCTTTTGCAGGAAACCACACACTCATATATTATTAATTCTGTTTCGCTGGTAACATAGGACCTAGGTACTTCTCTAGAGTGTCTCAAGTTGCTTTTCAGTGCATCTGTGCCATTTCCGCTGCTGCAGTTACAGTTTTAAGCATTGTTTTTCAAGGGCTGAATAATTTTTCAGGCAATAGCAACGTCAACAAAAAAAAGTATGTTTAAGATGAGTCTTGACACCCAAGTTCTGAGCCCAAGAGGCAATTTGCTGAGAAACTACAAAACAAATCACTGTAGCCCGCTGAGCCTTGCTCACTTAGTCACGTAGCTGGAGGAGGTCGTAAGCTAGCCAGCTGCCATTCTTAGTCTCCTGAAGAAACAAGTTAGCTTCATCTCTTGCAGCGTGGCCTCTTCCAGCATCCTTGCAGCAGTGTGTCACAGTTTGATGGCCCAATGGAACATGGCCCATATGGTGGTTCCATAAAAGATGCTGAGACGCAGCTGTGGGGACTGTTCTTATGAAAGACAGCTGGCCAGGTGATGCCCTTGTTTTTTCCCCTTCTTCCTAAAGCACCGTCAGTGTGAGGTGCTGTGCATTAAAACATGAAGAGGGAGGGGAGCCAGGGAAGAAAACTCAGTCTCTGTTTTTGGCTACTTACAGAACAGTGTAAAATGGGAGCCTTGGTCTCTCAAGTATTTTTAATTATCTTGCAGCTAATTTAATCTGTGGGTAAAGGATGGGTTCGTTTATTCCTTTAAAGCAAGTGTTGCAAATAGTTAGTCACAGTAGCTTAGTCATGTTTGCTATTTGTAACAAATATGTATAGCAGCTTGAAACTCCAGTAAGAATTGTTGCCTTGTTGGCTTTGTGGTTTGGTTAGGCATTTGACTCTGGTACCCTATATGGACTTGACTGACATCCTTTTTCTTGAAGAGCTCAGCTGGCCCTGTGCAAAGGAATGAAAAGAGCTCAGACTGTCAAGGAGGTTTCATAAGGCTCCCAGCACTGCAGGTCCAGCTGGGAGCTTTGGGATATGTTAGCAGTTAGGGACGTAGTAGAGCTGTGGTAATAGTTAGCCTTGTTCAAACCTGGATATCCAAGTTGGTGAGTGAGGCAGAGACATTAGCTATTCCCTCTTGGAAATGAAGGAACAAGAGCAAAACCCGTGATTGACTCATCCTTCCCAACAAAATGCTATTCCAGGGTTTAAACATCAGTGAAGTTTCAACTTGCTGGCTCTGTGTAGTGATCTGTGCCTTTTTTTTTTTTTTTTTGGCTGTTGGGGCTGCTACAAAAATGCCATTTAAATGCCTTCTCCAAATTGTGTCTTGTAGAGATCCCCAAAATGTATTTTCCAAATCTATGTCTCTTTGAAAATTTCTTGACTGTGTGGTCTCCCAAGAACCATCCATTGCATTTTGGAAACCTCACCTGATTCCTGTTTGGGATTTCACATATAGTAATGTTTTGTAGTACAGGAGGAGTGGAATCTCCCACTACTATTTCTTCTCTGGATTCTGGATTGTTTCCTCCCCACGCAGCCGCTAACATGGACCATACCTGTAATTTTTAGGAAATGTGGAGGTGGGGCTTAAATTTGACATCTCTGCCACTGTCTTCGAGTCTGAGGCTTGCCACGTGGTGCCTAAGGGATGCAGCTATGTAAAAAAAACACCTTTACTGATCCCAGGTCTGTGCTATATTTCAGTGAAGGGGAGGAGGTGGAAGGTTCAGTTATGATATAGGATTTCACCCTTAATTTTTAATTTCCTGCTGGTTTGTGTCACCGCCTTAATGTTGCCTCACCCTAACTGCGATTCCCACGAGCTCAAGCGGCTCAAACTCAAAGAGGCTCCCCAGCCCGTGGGCCTGAGCATGTGTTGTACAAAGCAAAGGATTCTCTGCAGCTATGAGAGAGACAGCCTTTCCCCCCACCCCTCCCCTTTCACTGGCAAAATTGATTGCTCACCTTCTCGCCTCATCAGTGTCAACAGCTGGATGTGTAAAAGGTAGAGTACGCAGGCATGCGATAAACAGAATCAGAGCATGAGCGTTTACTTCTCTTGTCTCTCGGCCTTTGGAAAGCTGCTGTGAAATGTAAAATCTCTGACAACCTTCAGTGTTGCAGTCAAGGTCAAATGAGCACTAAATATCCTTCTAAAACTCTTCACCACATGAAGCTCGCTTTGGTTCCGAGAGGCGAGAAGAGGAGCTGAGAGCTGTTTCACACTGACCACGTTTGCGTTCTGTTGTTGCTCATCATTGCAGATTAACAGTGTGAATTTAGTCATTGGGATTTTTTTAATGGCACTGTATTATGGTAGAGCTGCTGCCATAGCCAACAATATCTCCCCCATTAGAATGTTATTCCAATTCATCTCTTTTTCCTTGTAAGAAATCAGAGCAGCTTGGGCATGTTAGATGCTTCTTGACGTTCACTTTTCCTTTTGGTCAAATGACACAAATCTTTAGGGAAAATCTTTCCACAGATGAAGAGACTGACATCTCGGTTCAAAGGCAGAGTCCCTAGGAAAAACAGTGATTTAAAAAAAAAAAAAAAAAAAGTTGCTGTTTGTTTCAGGGCAGTGGGTCACTAATTGAGTGCAAGCTTTAAAAATGTTGTTTATCCCCCCCCACAGGGCATACAAAACCATTGAGGAAGACGACTTGAAGTTTCCTCTTATATATGGAGAAGGCAAGAAGGTGGGCACGTTTGCTTTCCTCAAACCGAAGCAAGAAAATTCTGTGCTGTTTACCGCTGAGTTTAGCCTGTGGCAGTCCAGTGTTTTCCACTCAGTATCTCTTTATTTTATCATTTTGACAGCTTGAAAGAATATCTTGCGTCTGTCGTAAATCAGTCTCATGTCTGGGGTAGGTGAGGGAGGAGAGAGTTTCAACATATTAAAAAGCAGTTCTATAGCAAACGTAGTCTTTTGCTGTTCAGTTTGCTTTTGGTTCGGTTTCATAGTAAATGATCAAACTCCAGTGGGACCACCTTAAATAAGTGATTTAACATTTTCCTGGTCTGATTACAAAACATAACTAGGCCGGATGAATGTATGCTTATGTTTGCTGAACAAAGCAGGAGGATATTTAATAAAACTTCATAGAGTTCTGAGATTAAAAAACACTAATTTAGGAAGGAGAGGGATGAGGAAGTATAATACCCCTTAACTGTATCTTATTCAGCTAGCGTGCATGATCTAGCTGTTGAATCTTTCTGATGTGAATGCTGATAGCTTTTCTTAAAAGAAAAAAAACATTCATTTTGGGTGTATCCAATTCCATAATTAAGAACAGCAAGGTTATTAGTGCTGATCCCAGCAAGCTTAGCTGGGCAGCAGTAGGATCAATATAAGGACACAGTGGTGTCAGTTTGCTGATACTGGTGTGCTTGCTGTGTTTCTAAATAGTGCTCCCCTGCTGCATTAGGTTCTTATCTCAATGCAGAAATACCCGCTCTTCAGAATTAGTCTAAGTTTTGAAGGTTCAAACCTGCGGCTTATCTCTAAATTTGGTTAGGTTTATAATTATTTGCAAAATATTTCGTGAACATCTTACTTTTTAATTTACTTTCTTGTTGCCTTATGGAGCTAAGGTTTAGTGAGGCAAAATAATTTTGAGTCAGTCACTCCCTGCTGTTGATGCAGTGCCCTGATCAGAAGCTGCTGCAGCTGCACTTGAGTTTGGGGGAGTAATATGCAAACAGCAGAGATTTAGGTTCCCTGTGAGACAGTCTGCCTGGTTGCTCTTTGGGGAAGTGTTAATGAAGAGGAGCCTGGCACCTCTTGGGAAACCACTGATGTTGCAGAGAAAGATGCTCGGGGAGGGAAGTGGTAGGTCTGAGGTAGCAGCAGACATGGTCTGGACCAGTTCTGAGTAGGGTGCCACTGTGTCAGTGGTACCCTCCTCTGTGTGCTCCTGCATCAGCAGTTGAGGGTGGCCTTTGGTATTTTCCTTGGTGGAGGGAATACGTGGCAATATGTCAATAGGAAGAGGCTACAGAGTTCTTGAATAAATGAGCTAATTAAGCTCCTCATCCTTTTTGAAACCTATTTACTTCATACTAATAGTGTAATTTGCTGAAGAAATGCTCTCCTTGACTGGCATGGGACAGCTAGGGGACTGGGTTAGATTTACGTTGCCCTTTACGGATGGTTGCAGTCTAAGGCATGCGTACACAGTCTGGGATGCAGACAAATGCAAAGCTTAGAGTAGCCACAGAAATGGAGATGTTGTGAGTGTGAAAAGTTTAAAAGTTGGTTATCTCTGTTAACTCCAGAGTTTCTGGGAGGAAAAAGGGGAATTCATCCCCAACTGTAGCTGTTATGGAGTGGGATTGTTCTCTCTCCCTTTTGCTATTGGCATAGTGCGTGGAACCATATTTGATCCCACTGTTTTTCTTTGTTTCCAGGCTCGGGTTATGGCAACAATTGGGGTGACCCGAGGACTGGGAGACCATGACTTGAAGGTGCACGACTCCAATATCTACATCAAACCTTTCCTGTCCTCATCTCCTGAGGTAAAACAGTCAAGCTTCAATTATCAGATTTGTGAGAGAGGAAAAAAATATGCTAACTGTGCTCTTTTAATCATCCTAAGTGCAACTCCATTCTGATTCTGGCCTGATCCAGGGAACATGCTGCCCTTCCCAAAGGTTTCTGCAATGGAGAAGCCCAAACTTAGTAATGTACGTGGAGCAGCTGTGTGCCCTGCTTCTGGTTTCTCCACATCCCTGGCAGAGCAGTGATGCCTTCTCACTCTCTGCACTTCATGGCTAAAGTTCCTCCTCCTGCATGATACCAGATACTTGTTTTCAGCTTGTCTCCAGTTATCCTGCAGCCCCATGTTCAGTGTGACGGACACCCCTCTCTACTCACCTTCACGTGCTCCAGTTCACTTTCAGGCCTGGATCATGCTGCCTTCACAGAAGCTGGCGTAAACCTCTGCTCTCAAGTAAGAGAGCAGAACTAGATAACGTCGTGTTGGCTATCTTCCATGGTAACGTGAAATCCTACTTTAGACAGAGGACATCAGATCAACTGCTAAGTAGGAAAACACCAAGAGCACCCTGGAAGAGAGCTTTATGCTTCCATCTGGCTACCTCTTCATTTCCAGACCCAGTTCGTAATTCTTTATGATTTTATGCAATCCCCAAACAATGGCAGAAATAGCAGTACAGATTCCCAAGTGGTAACATAAAGAGAGGATTGCACAGTATTTATGTTTGCGGTAGTGAACCTACTACTCAGCTGTTTGGGAACCATTGTTTTAAATCCCTCTTATCATTGTGACTTGTCCTGCTCCAAGCATGTTCAGTTTTCGAACACGAGACCTTGTAACAAACTGAAGCATTTCATAGGAGAAAGTGAGCTGTCTTAACAGGAGAGGCTCAGGATATAAAGGCTTGATAGAGGGGCTTGAAGGTACTTGTTTATCAAGAAGAAACATGCACACCTCACTTCTTTTTTTTTTTTTTTTTTTTTTTTTTTTTTTTTTTTTTTTTTTTTTTTTTTTTTTTTTCTCCATAACTATATTCCTGTGCCTACATCAAGGAACAGATGACACATATTTTACATAAAATATTAAGCAGGAACAGCCCAGCCTTTGAAAGCGCAGAAAGACAAACCACGTTCTAATCAGACTTTGCTACCAAGGGCCAGATGCTGAGAGCCTTCTGCTGCTAACTGGCTGTCTGGTGTTTTAACCATAGTTGGTATCTGACCTTGAATTCGCTTGCTTGCTTACAGCAGTGTGAGAGAATGAAAATACACAAATGATACAACACTGTTGGGAAGGAACCGAATTATTAAATCAACCTTGCTAGAACATCTTTGAGACTTAAAAGAGGGGGGAGGTGCTGAGAGATTCTGGCCCCAAAGAGAGAAGGAGGAGATCCAGAGACAGCCTCTCCTTCCCTTCCCTTTTCCTTGCTGTCACTCCAGTAGCTTCACTCTCCCCTCTTTAATTGTATGGTATCCCTCACTTGGGACCTGCTTCTCTCCTCCTAAGCCAGGCAATGAGCAGCTCTGCCCTCATCACTGTAACGGGTCTGTTTAGTGCCAGTGTAATGATGCAATTCTACCTATTTATTTTTCTTTCTGGCATGCTGAGACCCCATGTTTCTGGGGCATATAACAACTGCAGCGCAGTATCTCAGCAGTATCGTCTCTGCCAATTGCTGCTGCAGTATTTGTCTGTGTGTATAAACCAAAGCTTCTCATGGGCTTTTCTGATTTGTGTGTGCGTGCCTGTGTTTGTGTTCAAATTCTGGAATATGACATCCAGTTCATATGCTATCCACGTTTCAGGATCTCTTAACTGCTTCATAAAAAGGGAAGCAAAAAATGGCTTTGTTTCCATATTCCCTTCACAGCTAAATCCAGCAGAAATGTAATAGGGCAGGAGCAGGAAAGACAGAGCACCAGCCACCTCAGTTTAGAAATGCTGGCAAAAAAACCCTGCATTTTATTAGGCGGTAGCATATGCTCCGAACTTGCTTTCCATTCCACCTCCCTTTCTTAATCATCTCCGCCTCTCTTCCCAGAGAGAGCCCCAGTGCTTTATCTCCCATGTTCTTCTCTCACGTGGTCTGTCCCTGTGTGGACAGTGCACCTTACACACAAACGCAGATGAAGGAACAGCGTCTTTATCCTGCCATCTGGGAAGCTTGGCACTTGGAAGTAAATGTAGCGATGTCAAGCAGCAGTAATATTTGGCCCTTCTGTAGCATTGGATTTTGAATTGTTTATATAAAGCACAAGGAAGCAAAATGTCTGGTTTCCAGACCTGAGAAAGGGGAGGCACAGGAAATTAAGCTGCACAGCGAGTCGTGACGGAGAGCGAATCCAAGTCCTCTGGCTCCCATTTCTGTGCCGTAATTACAGTGTCCTTTCCCAGGTTGGGCGATGCGGTGAGTTTTCGGAATGTTTTACTTCCAGCACAACAAAACTCTGGTATGCCATGTCCATCAAAATTTATCTGAAGGAAAGGTAAGCATCTCTGTGACTACATCCAGAAAGAGGAATGTAAATAATTTGAGGATGGTATAAAATGTTACTTTGACAGAGTGCCAGGCTATGGCAGGAGAAGTCATGTAGCCAAGACTGACAAATGTAATCAGGATTCAGTGGCTCAGCTGTTACAAGACCAAATTTGGAGGACTTTTGCAGGTTGGTGAGCTCTAGAGAATTGAGCCTTTTATAATGAACTGGAATAGTACAAAGCAGGCAAGCCATGGCTGAGGCTCTCTGGCATGGAATTAAATATTTATTTTTCATAATGGAACAGTTCATTTGAAAGCTTTCAGCAAAAAACAGGAAATTCTGCCTTTTAAAGCCCAGCGAGGGCCGCCTTATTGCATATGAAAAGCAAAATTTCATCTTGAAATTTTTCAAACAGCAGCTCAGCCATTTGGTGAAAAAAGTGTGGCCCTGACAACAGAATTTGGCCCTTGCCAGTGATAAACACACAGTCAGTCATGAGAGTCAATGACAAGAAGGCAGCCACGGAGACTTTTTCCCCTTCCAGTATGCGTTAGTAAGATCTTTCTGACAATTTCACAAATACGTCAAAAGAAACCATTTTAGATTCACATCTGCCTTCTGGAGAAATCCTTAAGAATTACCGCATTTAAAAGAACAAGCGAGGCAAATACTTAGAGAAGTACTGTTTGATCAAAGGGAGTCAAGGTGGTTTCAGGAAGCAAAATCACGCTTTACTAGCTTGAAGTCCTTCAGGGTTACGTCTACCAGAGAACTAAAAAAAAAAAAAAAAATGCAGTAGATGGCCTTGCATGAGCACTTTGATTTCTCAGAAAACATTTGAGAAACTGTTCTGCATCACAGGTTATTAATATAAAAGATATGAAGCTATAGAGTAAGTGGAAAGTTGGCAGTGTCTACTGGAAATTGGCTAAAGGGCAGGAAACAAAGGATGGCAGTAAAAAGCTAAAAGGAGATTAATTGGTGAGTGCTGCAGGGAGTAGTGTTGGGACCCGCTTTTTATTATTTACATATAAATTACTTGGAGGGTGGTATTGAAAGATCTCGTTTGCCAGTGAAGCTGCGTTGGATAACACTGCACATAAAAAGGGACAATACAATTAAGAAAGGGTTTAATTTATTGAAGTAGCTGAGTTGATCAATAGTAGAGGCAGCTGAATGCAGAATATTGCCTCTGTGGGTTGTTTGGCTTGAATTCCACCGGGACAGGCTGCTTCAGGAGCACCTCAGATGGCTGCAGGCTCGTGTGGCAGTTTGCTGCGAACAGTTTTCAAGCCACAGGGACTCATGTTGGCTGCCTCTTAAAAAACAAAGCCGACAAACAAGTCTTAGTGCTTTCACAGAGCTGGTGTGGCTCTTTTCCTGAGCCAAGTGCAGATTTTGTCAGGTGGGTAGGTCTATTTGAAATGTAAACACAAAGCTGGCCCACCTGTTTATTCATTGCTTGCCCAGAGTGTTTTTCTCAGCACTCCTGAGTGTATCTAGGTGAGCAATATTAGAAACAAATAACTGTATTGAAGAAATGTATTATGTGACAGACTGCAGTATGCCTATTCAGAGAGAAATCATGTGTAACTATGGGCTTTAGTAGCATGTATCTGCTGTTAAATCTCAGCAGAGAGCTGTAAGTACCAGTGAGGGTAAAATGCGTTTAGTTTAACGCAACTGCTAAGGTCACAGATGTTTGTGCTACCCAGGTGATGCTGCTTCCCTGTGGTTGGCTTTTTATATTTTCTGGTTATTAGAGTCAAATTTAGCTAATTAACAGGTCAAATGTTCCATGTCCAGTAAGATGGGCAGTTGATGGTATAAGTATGGTGAGCAAACTGGAAGCTTTCGAGAGGTGCCTTGATGCTCCAGAGAGAGGTTAAAGAGGGAGAACACTTGTCATGGCAGTAGAAAAGGGGCTGGGACGCTCAGGGAGGTTGGCGAGGCTTGCAGAAGAGCAGGGAAGGCAGGGAGGAGAGCGCACGCAGTCTAAGCTGTTGGGGGCAGAGGACGTGAACTCCATGGAGCACTCTCGGGACTGATGTCTGGCTGCGGAAAGAAGAGGCCACGAGGGAAGACTGAAGATTTTCAAGGGACCTGCTAGGAAATTTGTCAAGGGTGCAACACAGGTTAAGGAAACCTCTACACTGCTGGCTGGTGTCTGGCCAGCCATCGTCTGCATTAGTCGGGCTATATATTGCTTTGCAGCACGTGCAGATTTGTGCAAACTGTCACAGACAGAGCATTGTTTAAACCTCACTATTGTTTCTTTTCCTGAAATACA